TTTGATAGCTGTTATGCTGAAGAAATTATCATAATAATCATTTATCAGCATAAACTTGTATAAAAGCATGTATAAAAACAAAGTAAAGTAATTCTTGAATTAATAAATGAATTTAAAAAAGCACACTTTAAATTATTAAAATAAGTGAAAATACCAAAACCGAGGACATGACTCACCCAGAAATCACCGGATATCAGAACTACACCATGGTATTTATTGCATGCTCACTATTTGAATTCCCTCTCTGTCTCATAATGATAAGCACAGGAGTAGATTTAAGTATACTTTATTGGTTTATAATTGTGCTTATTTGATAAGACCTAGTAAAATAAATGTTTAACTGTGAACTAGTTTAGAGTGAATCACTTCCAGATTCTCTGTTCTCTCTTATCCATTCTCAAGCTGCTTACCGTTATACGTGGCCACTTGTAAACTTAAAAAGTTCCTGTGAGCCACAAATCACAGGTGGTGTCAGATTTTGACTCAGGATTGCTATTTTTATACCTTTCATATATTTACCTCTTATTTCTCTTATTTTGTATTAGGTCCTTTTGTACTTGTGCGTAACTTAAATAAAAGTATTAATTATTAATTTCATTCAGAATTATTAATTGATAGGTAAGAAGGCATATTTTAATACTACTTATTTGAAAAACAGCAGTAATGGGTAGGAGTATGGAACATGTTATGCTGGAAGAAAGTACAAATTGAAATTTATACTTTCTTCCAGCATAGAAAATTTTTTAGAATACTGTGGAATTATTAAGAAATCACATAATTTTTTATTTGTGTTTCCTCTGATTATCATATTTTACCTTTCCTACAAACTGTTGGTAGGAAAAAATTTGATTGATTAGAAAATTTGCAAAATCATACTTAAGACATTTTAAAATTCTAAAACCTTTAAATATTAGAGAATTCAGAGAAATATTTTCTACATATCAGAACTGTAAGGAAACAAAAACAATACATTTTTGGTTGAATTTCATAACAAAATATGCAATTTGTTTTATTTAGTAGCTGAAAAAAATCAGCACAAATTTTCTGGACAATCCAATAATAATAGATTACTATATATTAAAGCTAATATATATTAAGTATATTCTGTATAAATGTTTGAATAATTATCTTGCAACATATCTATCACAGAGAAAATATGGAGAGAGTATTAAAATAAAATTGCTTCATTCATTCCACATTTGTATATATGTATATGTATGTATGTATGTATGTACACTAGAGCATCAATTATCCAAAACAATTCAGGACTGAGATTGTTCGGATCATGTACGAAAAATATATTAACTTATCCCATGTTCAAATTTTTCTCCATTGTGTGTCACTTTGCATTGAATTTTCATTGATATTAAGCCTAACAAAAATTTTTTAAAATAATAATCATGACTATTGTATCATTAAAAATCATTTCTTTATTTTGCACAAACAAAATATATATATATTGAAAATATAAAAACCAAAAAATTATATTTCAGAAGTTAATCTAGTATCAAAAACGTTCCGATTCAGCATGACATACGTCCCCCACAGTCCTCAGAAAAACATCACACAAAACAAGCAAAACTCACCACTCACGATGGGAAAAAAAGTCTTGTTCAAATACTGGCACACCCTTAAATACCCTCTCATGGTCGTGCAGTGTTGCCAGCTAAAAAACGCACAACAAAAATAATATTGGAGTAGCCCAAGACATAGCCAAATATTATAATGCCACAGCATCAGCAAAAATTTGAATTTGCTGACTGAAATGCTTTCGGTTAACCAATGTTTTAGTTGATTGGTATTCAGATAATTGATGCTCTACTCTGTATGTGTATATATATATATATATATACACACANTGACAGGGCTGCAAATAGCCATTTTCCAGCAAGATAATACAAAATTAGAGGAATGCTTGTGATGGAAACACAAAAAATTAATAATAATCATCATCAATTATAAATGTTAATTATGCAATTACAAAAATTCTCCACTGGAATGCATCATATCTTTATATAAGCTTGAAATAAACAAATCAAATCTCATTAAACAAAAGTTAAATTTTAACTTGTTCTTTTTTGATGTTTATTTTAGTATTATGTCAGTCTTATGATATTCTATCTATGACTCTATTTTCTATGCTTGATACTGATATAGAACTAGCTTTTTTTCAATTAACATTTGCATTTAATTTAAAACTAATCTCAACATAAAATAGAATCTTGGAGTTATCTTATCTTACAAGGAGAGTGCACGTGGTGAGAAATGCAAATCTGAACTAAACTTTTACAGTTTGTAGGATGAAGTTTCTTAGTACACACACAAAATATTAAGTGTAGATGGTCTGCCATTCAATAATAATTACCAAAGAAAGATTTTTATGTCCATTATAAAGAGTGGGATAAGGATGACATTTTAATGTGCTGCATGGTAGCATTCTCAGACCTCCACCTACTATATTGTTGTCCTGACTTTGAATCACAATATTTTTGGAAGTTTTTTCATACTTCTGTTAAAATAACATTTAAACAAAACAAGTTTGAAATTTTGTTGACTGTAATTTTTACCATTTCTGAAATACTTGCTGTTGGATTGTTTGCCACTCTACTGTCAATTTGCAATAATTCTTCTGCACATCTTTTAAAATTATTTTGAAACAACTGTTGAATATCTAAGTGTATAATAAACTGTGTGAAAAGCATTAGGAAAGGAAACTTTAGACAATGGCACTGGCTTAATTTTACAAACAATGAGAAAAAATTTTGATCTGATCATTTTGATAGCTTATAACCAAATCCAACTACCAGTTTTAAATTTGTAAGTACAGCAATAAGGCAATAAAGCAATAAAACTAGTCTGTTTCAAATACCTAGGTCAAGGTCAAGTACTACTAGTCAAGAAATGCTTTCTAACAAATTAAATATATACATTATTTATAAATACAGTCGACCCCCCTATAATTACGATTCCTATAAAACTACGAAAAAATTGTGACCAGTATCCGTAAAAAACAGTAAAAACCCCCTATATCTTATACGGGGGTTTTTTACTGTTTTTTTTACTGTTTCCAAAGAATGGAAACAGTAAAAAAATCTTATAGGGGGTTTTTTACTGTTTCCAAAGAATGGAACGTATCTATATCTTATAGTGGGATCGACTGTAATATTCAACTTAAAGTAAACAAAATAATTTTTGTCTTAACAAAAGTTAGAAAATGTTCCAGAAACATTGTGATCCAAAGTCAGGACAGCATTACAGCCTGCTAAGGTATTAGTAAGGTTTAGTATGCCACCACGCAGTGCTTTAAAATGTCGTCTTTATTGCACTCTTTATAACAGACACTAAAATTGTTTCTGTTAATTATTATTGAATGGCTGGCCATCTACAAATAATATTTTGTATGTATACTCAGGAAGCTCTCACCTACAAACTGTTAAAGTTTATTTCAGATTTGCATTTCCCACCATGTGCACTTTTCTTCTTATTTAAGAGAATCTGGAAAAAGAAAAATTTGGCTTATAAATATTTTTTTGTAAATAATCACACTTTTTATTTTTATTTTAATTTATTATTTATGGAATTTTAGATTATTATTATTATTATTTCTTAATTTTGTGTGCTTTATTTACAAATAAAATATTTTTCAGTATGTTTCATTTAGATTTTTTAAGATCTGAAAGTTTCATATTATCCTGAAAATTTTTAATTTTAATAAAATAATTAATTAAAATTTCCTTTTCAAAAAAAAAGAAAAGAAAGGAATTCTGCAGAATAATGATATTTAGTAAAAAAAATTATACAAATATACCAATAAATATGTTATGAATAACTATAAAATTAATTGTAAATCATCAATTGATAAAGACTAGAAATTTATATAAAATAAACATTATGATATATAAAATCAGAGAAGAAAATTCTTTAGTAAACAAAAATGAATACATTAAAATAAATATTAGTCTTAACTAGAAACAGGTGTATGAGAGATAAAAGTTAGAACACTGAAAATAAAAAGTATGACATTCACTAGTTCATGGTTGTAATCAAACCAATAATCTTACCTGAAGAAAAGCCAAAAGGATCAAGAATATCAATGAAAATTACATACAAAATAAATTTATAATTGATAATAAGAAATACTAAATGGCAGTTTAACACATTTTTTGATCAAATAATTAGTTTAAAGCAGTAATCTGTTAATATTTAATAATTATTTTAAACTGCTAGATGAATTAAGAGTTACAAGAATTACAAGGAGGAAAAAAATTAGATAAACTTTTAAGCAATTTTTATTTAACAGTAATGGAAAACTGTTTTACAATAACTCTAGATATAAATATTTAATAAATGTAAGCCAGACATTCATTTACAAAATATTAATAATAGAAGCTTCATAAAAAAAATAATGCAGAGTAAAAAATGGGACAGGAAGATTAGGTTTTATATAAAACAACAATCGTTTACAGAATTTATTGATAATTTTTCATTAAATTCTGTTATTAAAGTATGTGGTATTTGAAAGTTATTTAGTGCTTTGAAACAGTGAATTAATGCATATTAAATGTAGCAATTATTTGTGCAAAAATACGTGAAATGAAGTTTCCAGACTGAGAGTAGAACATATTCCATATTCTCTCTATGAATGTAACAAACAAACAAAGAAACAAAAGAAAATGTTAAAAACCACCATTGAAGAAAATAAAGATAAGAAATTATGTATATGTAATGCGTATATAGATATACACATAAAAATATTTTATATGTATATATATATATCATATACTAAATAAACAAAGAAAAATTCTACATATAATATTTAAAGTAAAATGAAGTAAAGCTAATAACGAAAATAAAAATTAATGTAACTCATTATTAAAGATTATTAAAGAAAAGATTCATAAAAGATAAATATTAAATAATATTAAATTAATTAAATATAACCTTCACCAAAAGACATTAAAGTAAAGCAGAGAGAATATGGTGATGTTTTCTTCACTGACCTTACTCTCAGTCCTAGAAGGAGAGTATTTATCCCACTTTTTGGACTCTCTATTGTAGCTTGAAGGACCAATTAGGGGAAATGGTGATGAAGAAGTCTTTTGAAGGGGTGTTCTTTTAGCATCATTCTTATGGGATTCCTTTTCCCTGTGATTTGAGGGATCAGAATCTCTTTTTCGATGATTTCTTTCTAGATTGGCACTTGATCTTTCTTTTACCCTATGTTCTTTTCCTGATGACTCGTGTTTTCCATGTCTCGAGTCATGCTTATTTGAATGATTCTGGAACCATATCCACATTAGTATAAAATTAAGGAGAAATTCTATAAAAATTCTTTAATTTACAGAATTATTTCGTTGACAAAATAATACTTATAAGTTTAGTAATGTAAAACTTAAAATTTGTTTTAATACTAACATAATGTATAATATATTTTTGAACTGCAAAATATTCTAATTTAAGCAATAACTAAAATGGTACAGATATTATTTCATAAAATTTTGTTGGTACCCTACTAAGTTCTAATTATCTACTAAAAATTTTTAAATTTAATCTTTGAATACTATTCTTAAAATTATATAGTTTCACACACTATATAATTTTAGAAACATGTTCAAAAATGAAATTAAAATCAAAAATTAACTAATGTTCAAGTATAGAAATGGACCCAACAATAATTACTAATACAAAATTTAAGTTGCTGCAATAATAAATCTCAATTCCAGAATTCCAATGAAATGTACTGAACCTTAATATAAGAATGAAACAAATCTCTATCATTTTGTTACATATGCAACTCAAATTTTACACATTTTAGGTAGCTTTCTGAATCCATTTCAAAAATAAATCTTAAAAAAATTTTTTTTGTTAATATTATTTAGAAAACATCCTAAAATTTTGAATAATCTTTTTGTAATTTATTTTTATGTGGAGAGGGATTATAAACCTACAGAAGAACAATTCCGTTTATTTATCAAAACATTTTTACTGATTTGTTAACTGATTACAATGGTTGTCCAAAACTTTGTGCTGATTATTTTTAATTTGATAGCTGTTATGCTGAAGAAATTATCATAATAATCATTTATCAGCATAAACTTGTATAAAAGCATGTATAAAAACAAAGTAAAGTAATTCTTGAATTAATAAATGAATTTAAAAAAGCACACTTTAAATTATTAAAATAAGTGAAAATACCAAAACCGAGGACATGACTCACCCAGAAATCACCGGATATCAGAACTACACCATGGTATTTATTGCATGCTCACTATTTGAATTCCCTCTCTGTCTCATAATGATAAGCACAGGAGTAGATTTAAGTATACTTTATTGGTTTATAATTGTGCTTATTTGATAAGACCTAGTAAAATAAATGTTTAACTGTGAACTAGTTTAGAGTGAATCACTTCCAGATTCTCTGTTCTCTCTTATCCATTCTCAAGCTGCTTACCGTTATACGTGGCCACTTGTAAACTTAAAAAGTTCCTGTGAGCCACAAATCACAGGTGGTGTCAGATTTTGACTCAGGATTGCTATTTTTATACCTTTCATATATTTACCTCTTATTTCTCTTATTTTGTATTAGGTCCTTTTGTACTTGTGCGTAACTTAAATAAAAGTATTAATTATTAATTTCATTCAGAATTATTAATTGATAGGTAAGAAGGCATATTTTAATACTACTTATTTGAAAAACAGCAGTAATGGGTAGGAGTATGGAACATGTTATGCTGGAAGAAAGTACAAATTGAAATTTATACTTTCTTCCAGCATAGAAAATTTTTTAGAATACTGTGGAATTATTAAGAAATCACATAATTTTTTATTTGTGTTTCCTCTGATTATCATATTTTACCTTTCCTACAAACTGTTGGTAGGAAAAAATTTGATTGATTAGAAAATTTGCAAAATCATACTTAAGACATTTTAAAATTCTAAAACCTTTAAATATTAGAGAATTCAGAGAAATATTTTCTACATATCAGAACTGTAAGGAAACAAAAACAATACATTTTTGGTTGAATTTCATAACAAAATATGCAATTTGTTTTATTTAGTAGCTGAAAAAAATCAGCACAAATTTTCTGGACAATCCAATAATAATAGATTACTATATATTAAAGCTAATATATATTAAGTATATTCTGTATAAATGTTTGAATAATTATCTTGCAACATATCTATCACAGAGAAAATATGGAGAGAGTATTAAAATAAAATTGCTTCATTCATTCCACATTTGTATATATGTATATGTATGTATGTACGTATGTACACTAGAGCATCAATTATCCAAAACAATTCAGGACTGAGATTGTTCGGATCATGTACGAAAAATATATTAACTTATCCCATGTTCAAATTTTTCTCCATTGTGTGTCACTTTGCATTGAATTTTCATTGATATTAAGCCTAACAAAAATTTTTTAAAATAATAATCATGACTATTGTATCATTAAAAATCATTTCTTTATTTTGCACAAACAAAATATATATATATTGAAAATATAAAAACCAAAAAATTATATTTCAGAAGTTAATCTAGTATCAAAAACGTTCCGATTCAGCATGACATACGTCCCCCACAGTCCTCAGAAAAACATCACACAAAACAAGCAAAACTCACCACTCACGATGGGAAAAAAAGTCTTGTTCAAATACTGGCACACCCTTAAATACCCTCTCATGGTCGTGCAGTGTTGCCAGCTAAAAAACGCACAACAAAAATAATATTGGAGTAGCCCAAGACATAGCCAAATATTATAATGCCACAGCATCAGCAAAAATTTGAATTTGCTGACTGAAATGCTTTCGGTTAACCAATGTTTTAGTTGATTGGTATTCGGATAATTGATGCTCTACTCTGTATGTGTATATATATATATATATATATACACATACAGAGTAGAGTAGATATATATATATATATACACACACACATTATATTGTTTGTATATATACACAAAACAAATATCATAAATTTGTTTTGTAAACTGATCTTTGTATAGTAGTTACTTATCACAGTTAAATACATAATTGAATAATTATATTTCATGTGATTATGACAATAATTGATTTCTAGTATTTATTTTATGCTCAGAAAATAATTTTTTATAGGATTATAACATAGTATCAAATGATTTCTTTTATTATACGTTATTATTCTACCTTTGACAGTAATTCATCAATATTATTACAATAATCTTTACATATTTTCTCTGCATCTAAACAATCTATGATAATTATTATGGAATATTTCAAATAAATATTCTACATGATTTAAAATAAATTATTAAGTGTTTATATTTCTCAAATATGTTAAATAAAATGCATTATATTATAAGTTTTCTTATTGAAACAAAAAAAATAAACTTACTCTTCTTACTACTAAAGTTCCGTCATTATTTTCTTCATCTGGAGTTGGAGGTAGAGGACGATGAGGAGCCTGACTGTTTGAAGATTCTAAAATTCAAAATTCAAATACATTAAATACTATAAATAATTTTCAAACTACCAAAGAAAGGAAAGAAAAATAAAAGTGAAAGATATAAGGTACCTCCAAATTTATTCTGGAATTTTTAAATTATCTCATTTATGAAATGAAATCTGAATTTAAAAATCTAACATCTAAAACAGTTAATAATATATTTCAACAAAACAATTCTTTATTACTGTTAAAAAATTTATTTAAAAATATCATACCGAGTTGTAAGTGTCTAATATACATATAAAGCATGTATATATTACAACAATGTAGATAAATAACCACTGCAGCATTCTTTCATAATAAACACTTCAAAATTATATTATTATTATTATTTTTATTTTTTTTATTTTTATTTTTATAAAAAAGTTATTTCTCTCTTGAAATAAGGATAAATGCCTTTTATTTGATCCACAAAATTTAATAGAAGCTAATCACTACAATAAGAAAGTAATAATTTCTTTGTTTCTCAACAGTTAATGTAGACATGAATGTTATTAAAATCCAATAATTACTGCATTTATAACTATATTCTTTTCCCATTAGATTTACATTTTTTATTCTGACAATTATTGAAAAGATAAAAAGAAATGTATTAAAAATATCACAAAAGAAAACTGAATAATCTGACTTTTCATGATTTCTTCACAATAAAAAAAAATTAGTTAAAAACTATAAAAAAAATAAAAGCTTACAAAATTTTTGTTAAAGCTAATAATTAATGTAATAACTTAAGAAATATGAACAATAAGAAATAGGAACAATTTAACAATTGCAGAAATATTAGAAGAAATGTCAAATTTATTTCAGGTATTTGATTTGTGTATCAATAAATTTAATATTAAATATTTCTGAAAATTTTACACAACTAAAATTTTAAATTTTGCTTATTAAATACCAGATTTATTTCCAGAGAAAATTCTCAGACACCCTATATTTTATTAATTTTATACTACTAGAAGGTTATTTATCTCTCTTACCTTCATGGACAACTAAAGTCTTCATAGGATCATGACTATAGCAGTCAGGAGGCCTGCATGCACAAGGCAAATTACAGGAATCAGAAGAAGAGCTTTAAAAAGATTTTTTGAGAGAATATAAACTAAACATCACTTTCAAAATTTCATAAAAATCATCTTGAAAATAAATAAAATTAATATAATTTAAAAGCAAAAAAACAAATTAATAAAATGATAGCAAAATTGAATTAATGATAAAATAATAATTAAAGAAAAAGTATTTCAAAACATTAAAAATAAATAAAACAATAATTCTTGCTCCCTATACAACATGCTTTTTTAAATCTATTTTTGTATGAAATTATTAAAATAATTTGGATATTTATTTAAAACAGAAAAAAGGGAGTATAATAAAATATAAACTATAATTGTATATTATAGTTTTTAAAATTAGAAATAAAATAATAATTGAAGAGTAATGACTAATTCATAAAAGTTTATAAACAGTGATGTCTTTAATTGACTAAAATTTGTTATCCAAGAAGCTAAAATCCGATAAATATATTTAAAATATAATTACTTTTTATCCACAAAAAAATTCTAAACTCTTCACAGCCATTAAATGATAATATAGATCAAAATACAAATTACAATATAAGTATAATATTAAAAAAAAAGAGAGAGAGGAATTATTTTTTTAAATAGGTATGTTCAAATATAAAGTAATTAGTATAGTCAGTAAATGAAATGACGATTTTAAAAAAACTATGAACTTTTGGATTGAACTGAGTTTGAATTTTTTAGGATAGGGTTCAGTTTCTGTTAATTGTTCTTCATTAGATTTTGATATAGATACAGGATATCTCAAAAATATATGGCATAACCTCGGGAACGAGTTCCTCATATGTAGACAATACAAATAGTTTATATCAACACAGGTCCGGAAATGCTTGGTTTCTGAGTTTTGAAGGTCTGTATATGATAGAACTGTTCACATCACCTTATAAGGTCTTTTGGTTTCTGAGTTATCAATGGTAATGTCTTATCTCCCACAGGCGATTTTCCTTCATCACAAGATACTGACAGAATCTGACAGTTTTCCATTTGACCATTTACTCTGATCAGGAACACTTTAAAGTGCATATCTGCTTGCTCCCAATTTGAGTACATGGTTGGAATGGAAAAAAATCACCAGATTCTGTCAATACCTTGTGACGAAGGAAATCACCTGTAGGAGATGAGACATTCCCATTGATAACTCAGAAACCAAAAGACCTTTGTAAGGTGATGTGAACAGTTCTATCATATACAGATCTTCAAAACTCAGAAACCAAGCATTTCTGGACCTGTGTTGATATAAACTATTTTTATTGTCTCTGTATGAGGAATTCATTTCTGAGGTTATGATGGGTATTTTTGAGACATCCTGTATATATTTTAAAAAGTTAAAACTGAAAGCCTAATAAATGCTAAACATTACTTGAATAAATACTACATTCATATTGTCATCCAAAGAAAGAAAAAGTATTTTAAAATCAGAATATTTTTATAACATCCTTAAAAATGTTGAACTTTTTATCATCTACAGAACATCAATGACCACTTAGTTTTCTTACAATCCATATAATATTAAATTAATAAAAACAAATGGTGTGAAATTAATATATTATTGTCATTTACAAATAATTATTTTACCATTAATATTGCATAAATACCATGTTTATTTTAACTTGTATTAATGACATTTAAGAACATTACTTCTTTGTTAATTCTGTCCATACTATCAATGAAAACTTTATATTAATTAAAACTTTGTTATCACTGTCTTCTGTTAAATAATGCCAATTTCATAATTTATAAACTGTTTAAAAATTCAGAAATATTCTCCCCACATCAATTAATTATATAAAATATAGCTTTTTAAATATTAGCTTAACATTATAAATTAATTAGTTAAAGATTGCTGTAGAAAACAGTAAACTGCACTTACAGAAATATATTAGAAATTGGTTTAATATAAAATTGTAAACAGTTTAAAAACTTTAAAATTGTTTTTGCTTATTTAAATTTCATTTGAAATTACAGTAAATATCAGAACTTTTTCTTCTTCTTTAAATTTTGAATTTTAGATAATAAATCAGCTGGTGCAATGTTACATGATATTTAAGTATAAGAATTTCTCACAAAACTTCTTTATAAATTATATATACCAAAATTTCAGGTGGATGACTTGTGGGTTAGTTGTGTTTGAAAGATAATTTGAAAATAGGTGTGGGTTATTTGTCAATTTAATTTCTAATCATGAGTTAAAGTTGATTCACACTATATGATTGGCCAGTGGCAGGAAACAGGACCACTGGATGACAGTTACCTGAATTTTTATTTATATATACATTTGTGAGAAATGATACCAAATGTTTAACTATATTCCCTACTTTTTTTACATCTCTGATCTATTTTGATAGATTAAGATTTAGTTTTTTAAAAAATACTTGCAATTAACATAAAGATTAATTTTCAGTCTAATACAAAATACAAGCCAAAAATAATTAAATTTTTATACAATAACTGTAATATTTACCATTAAAAAAAGCTTTAAGAAATAATTTTAATATTGACAATAAAATTACATTTAATTTTTTAACCTACTTTGGTTAAAAAATTAAATGTAATTTTGTAAAAACTGGCATTTAACCTACTTTGATATTCTTTAATTAATCTTTGCTTTATTTGTGTATGTTCTGTTAGTTTGGCCTGTTGGAATCCTAAATACTTGTAGAACTCGCCCTCTTCCATGGATTCAATAATGTCCCCATTTCCAAGTGCAAAATCTTCTTTCTTCAGGATTCCTTTTTCTATGTGAAGTTTTTTGCATTTGTCTAAGCCAAACTCCATTTGTATGTCCTTAGTGTATGAGTGTGTGATTTGTAGGAGTTGATGAAGTTGTTTCTGTGTGGATGCATAAAGTTTTATGTCGTCCATGTACATGAGATGTGACAGTGTAAACTGTGTTGTTTTTTCATGTCTGATATTGTAGCCATAATGCGTGTTGTTTAACATGTTGGATAATGGATTCAGGGCTAGGCAGAACCAGAGAGGACTCAAGGAATCTCCTTGAAAAATTCCTCGCCTAATGAATATTTCGTTTGTTTGTATGGAAGTGTTACTAACCCTGAGATGTAGTGTTGTTCTCCAGTGCTGCATAGTGTTTTCGAAGAATGCAATGAGTGATGGATGTATTTTGTACATGTGTAGAATATGTAGCAGCCAACTGTGTGGAACACTGTCGAATGCTTTTCTGTAGTCTATATATGCCATGTGTATGTTTCTGTGTTGTTTGTGTGCTTGCCGTAGAATGACTGAATCTATGAGTAACTGTTCTTTGCATCCCCTGTGATTTCTACGGCAACCTTTTTGTTGTTCTGTAAGAATGTCGTGTTCTTCAACATGTTTGTATATTTTGTTTGTGATACAGGATGTCAATAATTTGTAGAGTGTTGGAAGACATGTAATTGGTCTGTATTGTGTGGGGTCTGTGGTTTTGTTGTTTTTAGGTTTCATGTAGGTAATGCCCCGAGTAAGAAATTTTGGCATGTCTTGTGGATTGATGATGATGTGTGTTAGATGTTTAGCTAGTTCCTGGTGCAGTGATGTAAACTTTTTGTACCAGAAATTGTGAATGTTGTCTACACCAGGTGTCTTCCAGTTGTGTGTTCTGTTAACAGCGTAGCGAATGTCGTGTATGTTTATTTCAGCACAGGGCATAGTTGGTATGTTGTGCAAGTTTCTGTTCTCCTCCTCGATCCAGCCTGCATCAGCATTGTGTGTAACAGCATTGGACCAAAGAGAAGACCAATAAGTTGTGAGTTCTTCTTCTGTTGGTGTGCCACTGTGCTGTGTATCAGTGTTTGTTTTGGTACTGATTTGTCTGTAGAAAAGTTTTTCATTGTTTGTGAATAATTTATTTTGTTGTTTTCGTAGTGTACATGTTTTGTATCGTTTGAGTCTACGTGCTTTGGCTGCGAGTTTTTGTTTTAGTGTATCGATGTATTCTGTAATGTGTGTGTTGTGATGTTCATGTTTTGTGTGTGTTTTAATTTTCTTGAAAATGTTTTTGAGTTGTTTCTTTAATTTGGGTGTTATGTTGTTTTTAGTGTATTGTGTCAGCCTGCCTAATTGCTGTCTAATGTCATTTATTTGTGTTTCTATTCTTCTCTGCCAGGCAGGCTTGTGATAGAATTGTGTTTTGTGTGTGTCTGTCTGTGAGTGTATTTTCAGTCCATGGTGTGTTACTACTGTGACTGCCCCAGCATAAACTAATGTATGAATGTCTGAGAGTGTAGAAATTGAATGAATGTAGTTTGGTAGTAAGTGAGTGTTTACATAATTTAGTGTTTTTCCTACTACCTTTGACGTGTTGATTTTTGGTATTCGTGGTCTTTGTGTGGGATCTGTACCAGTATATTTAATGAGTGTTTCCTGAAATATAAGTGAGAGCGTATTAACTAATTCTATGTCTACGTTATCAGTGATGGATGGGGAAGTGCCTGCAGTATCATTAGTGGTACTTGTTGTGTGTGTGCTGTAATCAGTGCTTGTTGCTGGATTATCCTGACAGGTTACGTGATCTTCATTAATGTTAAATGTTTCTGTCTGTTGATGTATTTGATCAGCAACCTGTTGTTTGATAAGTTCAAGTGTTGTTTGTGGGATAAGGTTGTTGTGTATAATTGTTCGTTTTTGATCAACAACCCTTTGTTCGGTGACAGTGAGGTGAGGATATTGTTGTGTGAATCTATGGTGTAGTTGTTGTCTGTATGCTGTCATGTTTGTTTCGAGTCTTGTGATGGTGTAGTAAGTGCGGATGATAAACTCGTTCATTTCTGTTGTCCATTTCATCCGTTGGCGTGGTTTTCCAGCCTTTGTGGTCTGTGGATGCATTGCCACAGAAACACCAAGGCTAGGTTGATTCCTCACATCTGTTGAGGGCATTGCAGTAGCCATGCTTGGGCCGGCGCTGCTTTCGCCACCGGTAACCAAGGGAGACTGGAGCCTATTTTTCGAACGTGAGCCTCTGCCTAACCCACGAACGCGGACCTTGTTAACCCGGGCG